CCCCCCCCCTACCTCCCCCAGTGCTTTTAGTCATAATGTGCTAGCATGCAGAGAACCTTACCTGCCAAAGTGATCCCCTTCAGCGCTGCGCTCCTCCCTCACCGGCACTTCAATCTTCTCCTGAGCTGCACATGCGGCTGACATGTAGAAAGAAGCTTTTATGGCAGAAGATACTTATACAAACTGTAAGTCTCTTCTGCTTTAGAAAGTAATTTTTTAGGGAAAACTTCCACTTTAAATTCATGTTATATTACTGAATACAGAGCTGTATTAATGTGTGTCTTGTTAGTGACTACAGATGTTTCCCATATAAAAAAAACAACCTTTTCTTGCTTTTTAATTATATAACCTGTTCCCAATACAAACATTGGTGACTGTAAAGTATGTTTTTCCAAGCACAGCTTTGAAATTTGTCCTATATATTGAAGATGCCAATGTGTCACAGTGCTGTGTTCTATTGCTACTGTTCCAATGTTTGCTACTGTAATGCACACAACTTTTCAAAGCCCCAGCCCCAGCAGGAGGCAACCAGCACAAGCAGATTGTTTAACTAACATGAAATTCACTGAACCGTACTACAAGAACAAATCCATTACAGTTCTCATCTTCTAAAAGCCTGTTCCATAGTGTGAGATATTAATGCTATGCTTATGTCATATGTTGTTGTATCATTACAACATAAAGTCACTTTGATTCTTTTTTTTTTTCTCACTTAGACATACTAGAGCTAACAAAGCCATTTTCTATGCTGCAAGACCTTCCAGAAGCCCAGCGTGGAGAACTTTATAATTGGCTTTTTGAAATATTAGATGATGGGCAAACAGTCACTCAGCTGCAGGCTGTGGTAAGATTGGCCGGCTTTATTCCAGCTTAATAATAGATGTGTTTTCGCAGCTTCATCAAGCCAGAATTCACCTGCCGTAGTTAAGGTGCGTGGCCTTCTTCACAGTTAATTACGAGCTATACAACACTAAAAGTTAAAAGCAGGTTAGCACTGACTGTATTGTGTACCAAATCGTTTTTCTGTAATTTCAAGAGCACATCAACACCCATTTGTTGAATCCAACCCTGTACGTAGTCTGCTCAATAAAAAAAGGTTCATAATGGCAATACTAAACATAGCTTTTAATTCATAATAATCATTGATCAGGTTTATTTAATAAGGCAATTCAGCAGCCAGTGCCAGCCAATTAGATTTCTAAATGTTTCCCATTTAAAACCTGGCTGCTCTGATTTCATACTCCTTGCATTGCCTACTATGTAGGTGCAAGCTAAATGGCTGTTGTCCTTGTTTCGGTACCTAGCAAGGTAATGACCCAGGACAAGCTTATGCATATTAGTTGTTATGGCAGCCTGTGTGCACATGCTTGTCCCCAGTTAGTGACTCCTGTGGTAAAAGAAAGATAATAGGCTTTAGAGCCTGACGCTATGAAAATGATTTCGTGACACCCCTCATATTCCTGCCCTGACAGGTTGCTTTTAAGTCTCCAAGTCTGATGTCCTTTTAAGAAATGTGGAAATTTGACTTGTTGCAGGGTTGGCTTTCCAGAATACAGCCGTGCCCACGGAATTCCCCCAGGAAACAATGTTGTGTCCATAGGTTCCCATGTTAATTAAATAATAATTCAATAATTGAAATGTAATTGTTTTGTATTCAATATGTTTTATTAATATTTTACAGAGCAGAGGCAAAACCCTTCATGTTAGCAGTCCATGCCCCCCCTGCAGTTCAACTAATGACAAAAGGAATGTGTATTTGTTATTATAATCAGTATTATTACTCATATATGTCCCTATACCTATAGAAGAGCTTACAGTGTAATATACCTATAAAGGTTATACAGACACACACTATAAAGCTAGCCATTCACTAGTAGACTAAACAGCGTGGATGGAGGAATCCCCTTCCCCCCCTTTCCGAGGTATTGTATTAAGACAACGGTGGGTGTGCCGCTGTCAGAATACCTGAACAGAGACTGCAGTTGGTTAGCTGAAGTCACTGTTTGGCTGTCAATTTTCCACCTTGTTCCTTTGTTTTTCATATTGAAGAATGTTGGGCAGGAGGCTGCCAACAGGGCCACCCATAGGGCAAATTTCAGCCCGTTCATAAAGAACCGTCTGAAATTCGCTCCATGTATGGGCAGCTTAAGATCATTTTCAGTGGAAACTATTTTACCTATGTTTTGTGAGGAAACTGGAGCTTACACACTCACAAGAACATACAGATATCTTATAGGTGCTGTGACTGGTGGCTTCAGGTCCCAGGATTCTGAAACTACAATGCCATGAAGCCAACTATTAATCCACCATACTAAAAATGAGCCTGTGTTAACAAAGGGATGCAAGGTGCTGAATAAATACTGCCTTCAAAGTAGATGATTGTGCTCTAACCATAGAATGGCAGTTTTACTAGGGATGCACCGATACTTTTCGAGTACCAGTGCAGATACTTGGCATTTTTCATGAGAACTACCAGGGTTTCAGCGTTTGCAGCTGGGACCTGGCTCTGGCGCTCCACCACTGTCCTGAAATCATTAGTCTGTATTGTTTTAGAAAAACTGTCACATGACACTAAACAAAAATGTATCAGTACTTGGGCAAGTACCAGTCATTGTACTCGCAAAACTGGTATCGGTGCATCCCTTTATTTATATTTATAAAAACAAAATCATACATTGAAACAGAGATGTACAAATCCCAGGAGCTTCGTGTGCTCCTTACAAATGACAGCAGCCTCCTAATTTTTACATTTTTCTCAGGTCTAGTCTTGGAGCTTGAAAAGTATCTGTACTTGTACCGAGGACTGTACTTGGTATCGGTGCATCCCTAAATCTTACCATAAAGGAAGTTAACCCCTTCGTGACTGACGACGTACAGTGTACGTCGCCAGCATCGGGGCTGTTTAAACAGACTCCCGGCGACTTTTGCCGCCGGGAGTCTGTTTAAACTTACACATTTATTTTAATCTTGTTTTACATTCCTAAATACATATGGCAGACTAAATGCTGCATATTTAAACATATCCTTTGCTATTAAATCATTCCATACACTGGTAGATTGTCATACAAATGTTAATACGAAAAATCAGAACATTTAAAACCATCAGGGATTTGATGAATGTTGTTTGAAATTATGTTTGCGTTTAGCAATTGATTTTAGTAGTAAATAGACTTTCTTGAACGAAAATCACATTAATTGTTAGAATTTTGTTCAAGCAAAATTTTCCATCCCACTCCAATTTTTTTGTCACGGCAGTCAAAAATGATAGTCAGTTTAACCCCATCAACTATTAGAAAATTAAACGAATTCTCAGAAAACAAACAGTATTTTATGTGAAATTCTACTGGTGTATGGCCAGCTTTAGGACTGAACAAAAGCAAATAATCTGTTCACGTTTTATATTAGTATTTAAATAAGAATTGGCCTGAATGAGGGCCAGAGGAGAATTTCTGTGGTGACAGTACACACTGCACTTAGCTGAAGGGCATAATTAATGTTTTTCTTTTTTCATCTATATCACAGCTTCTTGTGCTGTTCAAATAAAGCTAATTTGGCTCCATTCTGCTCTGTCAAGCACACAGCTATCAGTACATAGGCATCAGAAGTCTCTGTTAACTTAAAACAAATTATGAATAGGAATATTGAAGTTGTTTTTAATAAAAGAAGTAAAAGGTAAAAGTTTCAAAAGTTGAAGTGAAGATATGTAAAGGTTTCAGATTATAGGACGTGGCCCAAGAAAATAAAATGTGGCAGAGCTACCCCCAAAATATAAGATGACTTACACTAATTTCTTAATGTTATCTGCAGCCTCTTTGCCCCTCCTCACCTTTTTGACCTTTTCCATTCTCGCAGCCTAAGATGATCTATTATATATAAAAACTGTCTGCTTCCTAAATGCAAAGCAACCTGAACCTGTATTAGTACTGTAGCATTTTATTGCTGCTATCATTCCTTTACTTCATGTCTGCTTGGAGCTCAACCCAATCCCCCTTTGTACTCACCACTGTAGCTGACCCCTATCCTCCTTTCCCCACAGTACACCTGTTCACCAACACACTAAGCCCAATCTCCCCCTTCTTCCTTTACCACCTCTTCCACATATCCCCACTTCACTGTTCAGTGCCACTGCAGTGACTCGCCCTTTCATATTCAGCCTGTTCCAGGAACGCTTTTGCTAGTATGTAAAAAACACAGCGGGTTGATTACTCTTCATTTTGCTTCCACAAAGTTGAATAATAGACATCAGCAGAGCTTCACCTCATACGCTTATAAAGTAAACAGCCTATTTGCCTTTATTAAATCAACCCCGCTGTCTGCACCTTAAATGTAAAGCACATTGACCGGTTATTAGTCCTGTAGCATCTGAGGCAGCCATTAATCCTTCATATAATGTCTGCTTGGAGCTGAGATAATGGGTCTTAAAGCAAAGCTCCTGTGACCCTAGCCTTAAAGGAGCCCTGTAATAGGGTATGTTAGATATTATTGCTAACTTCCTGAAAATTCTTGTTGCCTCTAGCTTCAATATCTTAAAGGGGACCTAAGCCATTGAAGCTATGCCCAAAAAAATCCAAGCAGAGGTCAAAGGATTAATCACCAGTATTGCTTGTGGTCTCCATGTACCTAATTGTTTCCCCATTACTGACTTACCATGCCTTTTTCTGCACGGTGTCTTTGTGGGAGCTGGCCATCTTGGTAGAGTAGCAGGATTTTGCTTCCACATGTTACAGGTGATATGATGACTGGTGAGTTCCACTGGAGGATTGGTGTTGAAGCAGGGAGATGCATGCAGGTCAGGTCCTTGTGTACAGATTCCTTTCCAGCAAGGAAAATGTTACTCCAAATGTCCTGAGACTAGCAATCAGGGGCAGCAGTGCCTCGCACACTGTAGATATACAGGCTGTAGGCACATGAGTGTATAGACACTCACATATCAGCACTGATAGTTTGCAGGAGAACGTGAAGACGAAAGGTATATTTTCAGGGTGTTATTTAGGCACTTAATATTTCTAGATGTTGCCTATAACAGAGCAAACCTTTACGGTTTAGGTTAAGGCCCACTTTAAGAATGACCGACCTGAAGAAGGTATGGAGCAAGTGAAGTCAGATGATATTAGCACTCCTGATCTGCATACCGCTTTCAGATCCCTGACCCAGAAATCATTATTTCATCATGACAGCCAGGCAGCTAGCATTTGCAGAAGAGTTTAGCAGTAGCAACATGCATAGTCTAAATGCAGATCTCCTTTAATGAATTTCCTCCTCAGTTCAGAACATATTTTTTTTCGCTGGTGGCGGCTTGAGCCAGGTATGCCATTGATGAGAGCTGTTTGAAGACCTACATTTTCATGCTAGACTGCAGAAACCCAACACTTTTAAGGAGATCTCAAAAACACACTGATTATTCATGTTCTGGCCAGTATTTTCAGAATATCTCATGCTATGAGCTGTAGGAAGGAGGCCAAGTGGGGTATAGCCAATCATAGAAAAGTAGAATTTGCTTTAAAAACGAAATATATTAAAAACTTGGCTTACTGTGTTTATTTTATCACATTATAGTTTAACCTGTTGTAGACGCTTCCACAAAATTGCATTGAAGTACACCGGATGTATGTAGTATGCCCTGCCATGCTGTCAGTCCTGTCCCGTCCCACCAAATTTGCCAGCAATTGCCGGCTGTCAAAATGACAGCAGGGAGTTACTGTGTACATACGGCAGATAGTTGCTGATGTCAAAAACAGGGGGTCTGACACAGTGTTTATAAACATTGTTCCGGCACGAGATAGAGATAAATTACACTGTTACTTATGTATCTACTTTGTTTCATTCATCTGCAGATCAAATGAAAAATGAGATTTCATTTGCATATGATGTCAGTTAAAGCATCTGAAAAAAAAAAAAATCTGTTCCTACTTAACCCCTTATTAAACCTTAGTTTACACTAATAAGCCATAATTGACCCCTTCATCCCCTTCTCCCCATGGCTATTATTTTCCTGCTGCTTATTTTTTATTTCTATTTTTCTAACCATGAATAATATTGTTTTGTTTGTTAATCTTTTAGCGTAGCATTAAAATTGTTTTGTATTTTTGCAAACACCTTTCCAATGATTTGTTTTGGATCATAATAATTAGTTTCACTTTAAAAAAAATGATAAAATGTAAATAAAATACTTTTGATCCTTGGTAGCACTTTTTTTAAAACTACAAGTGAAAAGGAAGTATGTTTTGTTTTTTTGCAAGACAATATCACCAAAAAAAACCCCCTTATTTGTCCTAAAAATGATATGTGTTACTCTGTTGTCTGAAGTAACGACAAAAGTGTAGGAGCTGAGGAGGTTAAATAACAAGACATGCAGTAATTTATAAGTATGGTAGTTTGAGCAGATTGTATTATGTGAATGTCTCCCTTGTAGGTAGAGGAGATCCGTTTAGGAAACGGGACTGGCCTGAACTTCCTGGATGAGGTAAAGTCACCTGAAAGAGAGCGGGTCCAGAAAATTCTCTGCCTCATTGGGTATGATATGGAAAAGCACAAGCTGATGAAGACATATAAGAAAGACTTGCTTGCAGCTGTACACATCCTCACCAGTGCACTGGACGGTAATTCATTCAGTTTTATTTTATTGCAAGACTCCTGCAAAACAGCAGATTTATTCAATATGTTTTCTTTGTTTGGCAGCACATCACTTTACAGTATGTCCTTTAATAAATATGCTTTTTTGCATTATATTTACTCCCACACTTGGCAGCGTTTTTTATTTTTCATAAAACGTCTTTCATGTTGTCACAACAGACATATAAAATATAAGGTTAGCATGAATATAATTTTTTTCCCAGCTACAGCAGTCGTATATTAGGGATACTTATTTGTGACTGTATTGCTAGAGTTTAAAGGAGAATTATGGGGTTAGTGAAAAACACTCATCGCATAATTCAAGCCGTCTTGTGACAATGGTCGGCTCTATTGATCTAGAAGTCAGCGAATGCATACCACCGATCGCTGACTTCTCGATCGTCTCCCTGCAGAGAGTGGTGACTGTCGGTCACCACTCCCAGCTAGGATTCCCCTCCCCTCTGCGTTTCTCCAGCGCTGACTGGAGGAATGGATGGGTAGGAGGCAGGCACAGCTCTTCTTTTAGAGAGGCAGAGCCAGCTGTCAGCCAGCCAACGGGGTGGATCTCGACAGTATTGTCGTGATCTGTCCCGGCTGCGGCACTGCTCTGCACGCTCCACATATAGCAGGCAATAGCCCGCTATATACTGAGATTTGGGTCACCGGAAGACAGTATATGTCCTCCTGTGACCTTGTTACCCGAACAGAGCTATGGCCAAAAAAGGTTGGCCCATAGTTCTTTTAAGTTTTCAATGTACTTTTATAAGCTTTGTAACTCTTCAAATAAATTTGTCTTGAGATGAAGGTCAATAAACTAACCTTATTTTAGCCTAAAATGGCAAAACTAAAAAGCTATATTTTTGGGCTGCTGACATGAAGATCATTCAGAAAACTTAATTGTAGAGATGAATTGAAAGATACCTGGTGATTGCAGTCAGTCGGTGCATGAGTTTGGAGTCAGGATCCTGGATTTATAATGAACAGAGATGCGATGCAGGTACTGCAGGTTACATCCCATATGAGTGCAGCATATAATTGCCTTATTGGATCCACATTAGGGGGACTTGCATTGATATTCAATATGTTCTGCAGTAGCCTTCTTTCATCAGAGATGAACGGTAGTCTGCCTGAGTGTAGCCGTGAAGACCTTCCTGCTAATGTAGGGGTACTCTCATATACGTAAATGCTTCTGAATCTTCCAGTTGATGAGGCTACTACAGGAAAAGAATGTGTGTAGTTCTCTATAATACTGCATCCATGTTGGTGCCCGTATAGTGCAGCATGGAGCTAGAGAAGGTGCCCCTCATCCTAGGACTTTAGCAAAAAACAGAGGCATGCTGGGTAGAGAAGGTGTTATACTGGAGGCTGGCTCACATGGGAGGGCAAGATTTTAACTGGCGGAATCCTGGACTCCTGCTTTCAGGGGGGGGAAAAAACATCTCCCTTTGCACATCCTAAAGGTGATACCTACGCAATGCTGTTTACCGTGGATGGGGGAAACCAGTTTGTTTTTTGTTATTGTTTTGTTTTTTATGTGGGGCTGAAGGTGAAAAAATGGCCAGCTTTAGAAAGTATTCAATTAGAACAGCATGACAGCCAGGCAATTAGCATTTTTAGAAGATGGTCAGTGATGACAACCTATACATTTTACTCCTGATAGGTGTAATTAAAAAAATGTGAAGTTATTAATTCTCAACTATCAAATAAAGATCAAAACAAAGACTCTAGAATTGGTTTTCTATTAGCCTGCTGTGTGTTTACATCGGAGGGCTGGCACACTGCCAAGATTCTGATGGGACAGACATTAATAGGTGAAGAGCTCATATTTTAGTGCCTGTGTTGTGAACTTTGAAAATGTATTTCTTCTCAGTGCTTATAGATACAGAGCTGAGTGACGGCTTTTACTGATTCTTTAGAATATGTAAATACTTCGGTCGGCATGGTCAGGGCATAGGTTCACTTTCAGGTCTATACAGTCTCCTTACATGCTATATGGCCAGACACAGTTTTAGTGACAGTAAAGTCAAACTTTTTCCCCCCTTCCCATTCCTGCTGTAAGGACTTACTTTAAATGATGCCTCTTAATCCGATCATCTTCTTCTTTACTGTCCTTTTCAGGTGTCCCTCCAGCGCTGGTGCGGGTCTCCGATCCAGCGCTGACTCCTCTGTCCTCCTCTTCTCTGATGTCCCACGGAGTCTATGCGGGTGCACGCTGCTCCATATACTTACCTTGTGTCTCTCCTCGTCTCCCGGCCGAACATCTGAACTGCGCAAGCGCCCGCCCCAAGATCCTTTTGCGGTCACCCGAGAAATTTTCAGATGTTCGGACGGGACCATGCAGCGGAGACACAGGTAAGTATTAACCCTTTGAAATTTTTGTTTTGTTTTTTTTGTTTAATCGTTTTGCATATATGTACTGCTTGCTAGCAGTAGGTATATGCAGAAACATGCGAGGGTTTAATAACCCTTTAAGCTGGTAGGGGTAAGCATTTGTAATGAAATTAAAGTTTTCAGACTATACTGTCATAAAAGACTCGGAAGATGTCAGTAGTGTGTACCAGGACAGTTTTGACTCCCATTTTTGGGACCTAGGGGTACTTGTTAGCTTCTAGACTTCACTGCCTGATTCCTGAATGTTGCTTCCTGGTAAAAGGATTTGAGTCGATGCAGTAATGAAATAATAATGATGCCTGGCTGTTCACTGCTATGTCGTAAACTATATTCACAAACCTAGCTGTAAATTATATTTATATCTCTAAACGCCTCCAGTCATTGCGGCTGATATCTATATTAAAAACAGAAAAGATAATACAGCCGTTTCCCATAGCCTTCAATTAAATTATTAGGCTTCTCTTTCAATTAGTGGGAACCCAAAGCCGGTATCCTGTGTGCTGTGGAGTAGGGATCCACTTTTTTTTTTTTAACACATTAGCTCAAGCAGATGTAGAAGGAATCCATACGTCATTAAAATTCCCATACAGATCAATATTGTCTTGAATCGCATCAGCCACCGGTTAGAGAGAACAAAAGGTTACAGGTTGAATCTACTAAACAAGTACAGATTAAAAAGACTGGAACCACTTAAATCAGGATTGTGATTCCGGAACAGGGTGGCCCGTTCCCACAGACCTCTCTGTTTCCTTGCATTATAATCACTGTTTCATTTAAAGTACGGAGTAGCCAGTGGCTCTCCATATATAATCAGCCTCATCACTTTTTGTATTGTATATGGTTTGTTTTGGTTTTTCTATTCATAGCCGTTTTAACCACCATAGATTAGCTTGGTACGAATGCACTAGAAGTGCACTGAAAATAGCAAGTTCTGTGAGCAATGCGGTGAACAGAATCTGTGCAGCAATTCTCACAGAGTTAACTGACCTCTGCTGAGAGCACAGCTGCCAAAATTCATGAGTTCTTGGAGTCTGTGCTAAATGGAAGGCAATAGGAAACATTCCTTTTATTTTCGGAACTGTGCTGGAAAAATAAAGGAAGCTGATTATTTGCTACAGGCAACAGGAACACAGTACGCTTTGTGCTATGGCCTGTGAAAAGTAAAATAGATAAAAATGCAAGCAATGAATAAAATGAAGCTCTAGACAACAACATGCTTTTTATTTTTAAGAAAACATTAAAACAGCCCTACTCAAAAGAATTCACTTTTAAAGAGAGCCCGTGAGGATAGGATTATGGTAGCTCCCATTGCTTACTTGTTTTTAAAGTTGCAGGCTTTTGAATTATTATTTTTTTTTTGTATCCGGTGGAACTACACGATGAGCTACTGAAATTAATAAAGCATAGAGGATGCAAGTTGGCTTCACTGGCTGCATGCTTGTTCCATGTCATTGACTACTAGGTATTAAGTCCAGGGTCAGGCTTCCATGTTTCCATCCTACTGGTAAGCCACCTATAGACTTCCAAGAGTGTTCAGACGCCCATGCATGATTAGACCATCTTCAGACTTGAGGATTGAATAGTGGGGTAGAAGCATGATAGTCACTCTGAATGTCACGTTTGTTGCTATAGAGAGGGGTGAGGGAGTAGATGAGGAGCACAGGCAGATGTTGCAAGTGATTTATCTCATAGAGGAACAATAGCCATTTTACTGCTTGCACAATTAAGGAGTGGCTGATGAGCTCCCAGAGATATGTCATCGGCATAGCTAACCGATAATATCCCAATCAGGTGATTTGTCATCTTATGCCTCAGGGTGTCTTAAACCTGTCTTAAATTCGTTGACAGACATACAGACACCCTAGAATAAACAGAAATGTTTTTGCCACATAGAGAGCTAATATATGACCAAGACCATGTAATTGGGATACCAAGGAAAGTCTGGGGATCACTGCTGCCTGGAGAATGACTCAACACAAAGGTCTGAGAATAGACAGATCTATTCTCTATATGAGCGATCACAGGCTGCTAGCTTAATAAAGGCTTTAACCGGCATGTTGTGAGAGATTGTTAAACAGTACTCACAAGTACCTCTGACTATATGTCAATATAATGGCCTTTCCTGTGTTCATTTTTCCAATTTGGGAGTAATCTTCAAAGGGGAGAGGGTAGTAGTACAAAAAAAAAAAGAGTAGTAGCTGTGGTCGGAGGGAGTTTTCGAAGGGAGCAGGAGCTGTGCAAGAAGAAAGCATGTAGGAGAGCGCGGGTTGTATTAAGGTCACAGGAAGAACATACTTGCATACCTACATGTTCCCATTGTTCTGTGTTTATGGGTACTTTCTACGATTTCAGCTTAGCTGTCCACCTCGTAGCCACACATGAATCATCATAGGAATATAGCACTGCCATTTTGTAGACCAAGTGGGTGACAGCATGTGTGCCGTATTAGTTCATCAGTATGGATGCCTGGTGATGGGGGACATAATGCCTGAATGTCTGACCAAGACCCCAGTTGCTATCTTTACGAAAATTATGATGCACTTGCACTCCCCACCTAACCTCAGTGGCTGCCTTCCTGTTGGCATTTGCCAATGGTTCACAGAATAGGTGTTCTGTGAATGGACAAGGGACGGATAAATGACACTAGTGTGAGCTGCAGCAGGCCAGAAGTATGGCAATGAATAGTATAATTTTACTGTAAAGAGCAGTGATCTGGACGTGGGATAAATATCGGCAAATCATTCCCCTTTAAAAGAGAGATTCCAAAATAATAGATAAAAAGACAAACATAGTAAAAAAAAATAGTGACTAAAGCTGCCCATACACCTTACAACCATTGCATGACTTTCGTTGTGCGATGGTTGTAAGGTGATTAAAATTTCGTACGACCTGCCCATCTTGGACAGGCAGATTGTACTTGCGATCATCGCAAGCCCTCCCCGCCGAGGGGAGGGCTTGCCGATGATTGCAATGCTGAGCGGGCAGTGTGCGCTTGCGCACACCGGCCGTGCGGCTTTCGTCTTGCGATCGCGCTACCAATTTTCTTACGATTTTCGGTGGGTTTTCTAGCGTGCTCGTAAGATGAAAGTTGTGTGACCGTACAGTAAATGTGGTTGCACGCTGCCCATACACCTGCCGATTATCGCACGATCGCGGTATCACCCGCGCTGTTCGTATGATAATCTTCAGGTGTATGGGCACCTTAAATGAAAACCTCCATGTGCACATATGCAATGTTTACTAGTGTCCTGATTATGCTCCTGCTGTGGAGCTGCACCAGTGATTTCTGCTTTTTTGATTGATGATCACTATTTTGATTCATTAGAACTTCCCTATGTATTAATTTAGCAACTTCCACACTTTTGAGCATAACATTTGTTGGGGGTTGGTATTGTTTTTCTCCAATATATAAAAAAGGAACTGAAGTACACAAAACCACTTTCCAACAGTCTAGACAGCTTATTCCTTGGGTACCATACATGAAAATGGTAATAGATGCGAGACCTTAGTGTTGATACAGAATGGGCCTAGTAAATTGGCCTCTTTACACAGTACAAGAATGAAAACTGTTCGCAATGATATTTAACTATGAATGTGGAATGCAGAGTGTATTGATACAGAATGCGCAAGGAACTTTGCAGAAACTCCAGCATCAAATTGATTGAGTTGGAGCTCTAGTGGGAGCATTTTTCAAGCGTTTAAATGAAGAAGGAAAGCAGAAATAACATTACCGAAGTCAGTTTGCCTGGCCTAGGTGGCAAGAGACTTTATACATTTTGAATATAATTATAGCTTTTACACAGAAACTTCTAAAGGCACACACATAAAAGACTAGAGCGTCTCACCCTGCAGTTTTATGGGAGCCCTCGAGTCTTTCCACTGTGTGAGGCCCACTCAAACAAAAATGTGTGAAAGAAAGACTAATAGTGTTCTGAATATGTATATAAGTGTATGCAAGCCAGAAAAAAATCAGCTATATGTTGAATGCTTGACATCTGTGCTGGTGGCAAATAATTGTCCCAATGCAAGGTATTAATCCCGGGGGGCTTCACAGAGGATTAAGGTTCTTCTGCTATTTCAAGGAAAATAGACTTTACAGATATAATATTCAGGTAAAGCACAAAACATAGATATACAGCATCTAAAAACGATATATTTTTACTAGATTAGTGCAGCTTTTTAAAAATCATTATTAAATCACCTAGGAGCCTATTATTAACGCAGCTATATATGCTGTATTACCATGGCTCTTGGCAGGATTGAGTTCCTCTGGAAGCCAGCCCACCCAAGTAAAATCTCACATTTGTATCCGTCTTTTAACATCTCTGCAAGGCCAGTTCTTAATATTTTGGTTAAATATCTCCTGATTCTCACCAGTGTTTCCCTCTGCAAAGGTATTTCTTTTTGCTCCTGGCAGCTGCCATTTTAGCCTAAAGCATTTTCTGGGTCCATTATTGTTGCATCTGTGCCAAGTGATTTCCACTCTGCCATGAAAACACAGAGGATCACTTGCTTGGCACAGCGTCCATTTAGTGAAGGCCCAGTATCGGTGAATACTAGGCATTCTTTAATTGGATGAGGGGCAGGTTTTTTGGGGGGTTTTTAAATCAGTTTTTTTATTACATTTTGACAATGACAATAAAGCATATATCATAACATGTGAGCAATACAGAGGTCGCATAACTGACATTTTTCAAATACAGAAGTGCAGATGATATAAACAACTGAAATGTCTGGACATGAACCACTTGCGCAGCATGACGTAAGTTGGAAAGGTAGCGAATTAAAGATAGGTTGAAAAACAGAGAAAAGGACAAAGAGAAAGAGGTATGGGGTGAAAACAAGAGTCTGGTGGCAGAAGGACTCCCGGATGAGGGGCCGTTTTAAACTGCTACTGACCACTCAGAATTGTGGGATCATTTTTAAAGGAGGGGTTAAAATGGCACTGACCAATAAGGATTGTGGGATTGTTTTTAAAGGAGGAGATTAAAATGCTACTGACTCCTCCAGGATTGTGGTATCGTTTTTACCACTTCCTATCCGGAGGAATTTCTTAACTTTTTTGCACTCACTTGATAAAATCAGAATTTGTGGCTAGAAAACAGCGTAACCCTCCAAACAATGATATATTTTGTGAAAGCAGAGGCCCTGTAGAATAAAAACAAAATGCCCGATATTTAGTGATTAGCATATAGTGATTTGTCTATGTGATAGCCGAGAGGATGTGACGGGTCTTTTTTTATGGGGACCTTAGTCACCTAATTTCACCTATCAACTGATGAAGCGCAGACTTTGCTTCATAAGCTTCTTCTCTGGACACAGCGGCCGGAGAAATGGCAGGCTGAAACAGGAAGTGATGTAATACACATCACTTGGGTTTCAGTGATCGAAGGGGAGAACAGCCGTTGGAAGTGTGCTGATCTCGCTCCAAAGTACACAGTCCCACCGTGCTGATCCCAGGCTGGCACAGGAGGCCAGGGACAGGTGGCAGAGGGGGGTGGGCACACACTGCATACAAGAGATCTATAGCCATTTGAACTCTAGCATGTGGCAACCATCACCAGCTGTAAAAAAAAACAAAAAACTGTTGCTGATCATGATATATTTTTAAGGTAAAGAAATGAAAGGTAAATGTGAGCAGTCCCAATTTTTGGAATTTTCCTTTTACATGGTAACAAATAAAAAAACTGTGGTTATTAAATACCAGAAAATAAAAGCTCTGTCGATCACAAAACTGTATGAAATTGTATTGGGTACAATGTTGCATGACTGAGTACTTCTCAGTCAAACTATCACAGCACTGCAAAATGGCCTGGTAATAAAGGAGTGCATGTAGTCTAGTACTAGAGGGGATCTGTAATGGTGTGGGCTGTGGTGGAAGGCACGGGGGGAAGCCATTGCCTGCTTCAGATGACATTTACCAGTTCTGTGGCAGTAAAGCTGAATCTATTCCCAATACAGCTGCCTCAGAAATGGTATATGGTTCATGAGGCAGGAAAAGGCTGCTTCTGTCGAAGTCTATTCACACAGGTGTTGTGCTCCATGACAGAGTCCTTTTGATTCATCTGTCTACATGCTGGTAAATGTCACTTCCACACAGTTAACGTACTGGTTTCTGGGTAATGGATATTGATCTATGTGTTTGTTTTACAGAGATGCCAGACACTGCCTTGGCAATACTCGGTGCGTGCTGTAAACTCAATCTACTGCCAGCTCTCTGGGCCTTGGTGAGTAGAATCCGCAGTTCATTTCAACACCGAAAGTCCCTGAACATAAAAGCGGTTTCCGAGTGGCGTCTTTATTAATGTGTATTCCTTTTGAAGTAGGAATCCTCCTGCAGAGTAGAAATTCTACTACAGACCATGCTGAAAACTGTCATTTCTGCACACAGGTTTAGGAACATTTGTACAATGTCTTTATTTTTTTCTTTCATTCACTTTGATGGAAATGGAAACAGCCGCGGGATATGTATTACTGTAGAATTTAGAAATGCCCCTTCTAATAGATTGCTGAACAGGGAGGATAGAGGCAGGTGAAGGACCCGAATGTAGAAATATCTTTCTACACACTCCAATGATACCATGGGATTAATAACAGCACACGTCTAACTGAGCCTAAAATGGGTGACAACTTGGCAAACTAGGCTGCATTGAAAGCATTAAATAGGTCATCTAACATATGTAAATGTTGTACTGATATATCTACATTCATATTTGTGAGTGTTATTCAAAGACTGGTTTCCAGTTCACTGGTCACATACTTAATACTCGGGTTTGACTTCACCATCCGCATACTTGTTCTGAGCAAGTGACTGATTAAATGGTGAAAGTAAAGAATTGAAATTACAGCTGGAAAGCCATAGCAATGCACTTCTCTCGCTACCGGCTCACTTTAAATTGTGTTTGCAATTTCTCCATATTCTTCCCTCTTGGGTAGTAGGCAAAAAAAGTGCAGTTGGTCAGTGTTCTCATCTTATTCTTCCCGGTTGTGGTGTTGGACTGGGCAGGCACCTATACACGGCTCCTTGACATAAATGGGAGCGTTGAGTTTTGGTTCTCCAATTCATCTATATGAAACCTGTAGTCTGTACTGCGCAGTGCAGCACAACAACCGGGAAGAAAGCTGAAAGTAAATGCTGTCTGGCATCAGCATCAGAGGAGCAATATAGAAGGTCATGCTGGCTTTGGACAGAGTGGAAAAGAGAATCTGTCAGGTTGCCCCTGCTAACTGTAACGCCATTGGAATGATTCCTGCTCATTTTCTGTCATGATAGGGGACACAGACTGCAACAATTCAATGTGATTCCCCCTGGACTCCTGACCGGTGTGCCCCAAGAAAATGGGTGCTTTGGTGACTGCGGATGGCGCCGCCGTACTTGAAGCAGAAGTTTGTCACCAGCACACCGATGGTTAATTGTTCAACACATGGTCTATTTTATTAATATAGACTCATCTTTTCCATAGCGATGTTTCAGGACTGCACCGTGTCCCTTCGTCTTGTTATGCCTGATGAAGGGAACCTGCGCAGTCCCGACACATCGCTATGGACAAGATGAGTCTGCTAATAAAATAGACCATGGTTTCAACATTTAACCATCGGTGTGCTGGTGACAGACTGCAACAAAACACTTTCTTTTCAGGAGGGGTTAGAATTTCTGGTTATTGTAGTCTCTTACTTATTGACAAACACTCCCCTTCTTGTCTTGCAGTCATCAGGAGAGAGAGTATGGTAAGATCTCCCTAACGGGGTCACAGACAGCAATATAAACATCAAAGTATTTATTTTTCTCAAACCTTGCTCCCTGTATAGCTGCAGGTACCTGCACTGTGGGCATTGGTATCTCCAGTAAACTAAAGAACGCTTGTTGGCTCAGGTCATCTAGGTCGGTGTTTCTCAACCTTTTTTCCAGTCACAGCACCCTTTAAAAGTATGTACCACAACCTAAACTAAAAAAAACAAAACGATGCATAGTCCCTCCAAAATCCATACCAGGCCCTTATCTGAGATGGTGGTCTGGTATTGATTTTTCACTGGAACCGACACAAAAAAACCCCCCAAAAATGGTGTTCCCGCTTCACCTCAGAAACCCTCTTTCACATAAGAGCCTCCCTCTATAAACACTAGGAGTCCCCCTTCACATCAGGCCCCCCTCCATTCACTTTAGAGGCTCTTTCACCTGCACCATGAAAAGGCATGGCACTGTGTGAAACTTTCGATGCAGCTCTGAACAAGCCAGAGGGCACCCTGGGTGAGAAAGGCTGATCTAGGCCATGTATGACAGCGCCACACTTCTGGGTGGAGATTACTGTACTGATCCCAACAATAAAGTTATATCCCCATGTGGAAGTGGCCATTGTGTGACTGGGGGCAACTATGAAGCGCAGAGCTTCTACCCTTATACCTTTTTTTTTTATTGTTTAATACACCTGCCATATACAAAGAATGAAAGGACAAGCAGCGGTCATTGAGCTGGAAAATGTATGTTATTCTAATTATTAGGAAATAAGGAAATATCTTACAAAAATAACACTCAAAGGAAACCAACTTGGCGGCAGTTAAGAAAAGCACTTCCCCGTCTTTATTTACATTTTGTACTGCAATGTGAGCCTCTGTTTAGTTACTATAGTAAGACCACACAGGTTTGGCTTGAGAGCAGCATTTAGTAATGCAGACGGGCCAGATCCATCTGCAGCTTGTCTGCTTATTAGACGTTCTCAAGGATAACACAGGGAGCAAATCAACAGACTGAAACAATATTGCTGTCTCTACAAAGCCTGGTAATGAGGGTATAACATTTCATCACATTTATATTAAAAGCATTGATTTTCTTATTACAGTTACTTGAGTCTGACAATGCTTCTGGAAACAGAAGACGATCAGCAAGTCAGTCGATAGACTAATGTTCAGCTGCGACACAGCGCCACCAATGAGCAATTGTTACAATTACTGACATTCCACAGGACCAGCTTTCTCTAAGGGGGCAAAGCTAGTCAAGCAAGTCAATTGTATTCATTTTATCTTGGAAATGTAAGAGAATAGAAGTTATGGTGACCCTACTACACGTAATTGGCTTTACTTTTCTTTTGGGTCACAGGAGTACATTTTGCTTTAGACAAATCTGTGTAGTAATACAGATGAGTGCCGCAAACATCTGTTATAAAACAAGGAAAACAGGACATCTTAATATATTGTCCATTCAGACATAATGCTCAGTGACTGTGCGAGCTGCTATGATGGTTGTCACCAGTGGTGGAGGTAAATGACATCTGGCCTTGTGCTTATTTAATTCCACCAAGACAAACTGACCAGAAACCAGAAGCAGTAATAGTAATGTGATCCATAGGAAGCAGTCATCACACATTCTCCACATGCTGCAGAATTTTTAAGCTGTACCACGGAGAATACACAAATAATGCCAATTCCACTCATTCTAATCCTTATCAGCTCATCGAGCCATTTAAACTTGGAAGTGTCCTTTTCTTGGTGCTGGCTGTGCCTCACTACAACTGACTAGACTCGCGTGCTTGTTTGGCACTGTAAATCATAACCTCCTGGCCTCCGGGATTAACTGTGTTCCTGTGTTCTCTTTTTTAATTAGCCAAACACCACATCAGATGAAGGACTCTGTTCAAGGACAGAACCAGCGCTGGCTGATCTCATCGACCAAGGCACATTTCAGATTGCACAGCGTTTATTCTCTCTGTCCAACATGAGGCTGGAACTGAATGAAAAAAACATAAGTGCTGTGACCAGCCAGGACTCCGGCTTCCTCCCACATATCCTCTACATCGCCATCTCAGGCTTTCATGCATTAAAGAACAACCTCAAAACCTGATCTAATGCCGGGCTCAGATCATGGCAGCAGACCCACACACTGAGCCCTGTGCTGCATATATTTATTATATGGATCAAATGCATAAGAAAAATAGATGACAATATGTAATTATACTGATTTTTAAGCCTCAAGAGAATATATATTTGATAAATATGCACTTTATTTTGATATATCTGCCTTAAGAGGTGCCTGAGACCTCACCTGTGTCTGGTGGATTAAAGCCATATGAAAAGACAGTGCTGTTACCTCTGTATCTGTGTCAGCAGCTAGGAACGAAGGCCTAGTCTGCACTCAGGGAGCAAAGCAATTGGGATTGCCATTGGAGTTTTTTTTGGGCTATGCCTTCATGCTGGATTTTGTAAACATGCTTTGTGTACATTACATGCTCTGTCTTATGTTCAGCACTGCAGATCTTTAAAGCACTAGATGCCTGTGAACTCTGCGCATTACCAGCACAAGCCAAACCGTCAGCTGTACACTGTGGGGTATTCACCACAGACTTTGCTTATGAATGACCACATGCAGAGGGAGGGGGCAGGGGCAGAGGCACAACACCGGAAGGAATGCTCGTCATAGACACTGGTCCAGTGCAGCTGGAAGCCAGAAGTGCAATTCCCATTGTATATTCTGTCAGCAGCTCGGTAGAGCTTATAGACGAGCATTAAAGGAAGGAAACCTGTAATGGCAGTTAGAGAAAATAATCCTAAATCAATGTGCCGGGAGTTAGGCTTAAATATTCCAGGTTGGTACTCTAAACTGCACATTGTGTTGGGGAATAATTAAGCCACACAGGTCCGTACCATGCCAGAGAATATTCCAATAGATAATCAGAGAAGGCGCCTTTCATGTGCCAGTCAATGTTAGTTTAGATTTTAACCACACTGTTTGAGATTATTTGGCATAACATGCATAGGAAGGTAAACCTGGTTTTGTAATGAACTCTAAGCTCTCAGTTGCCAACTTATCCCCTAAAATGAACTTGTGATTAGCGGATAAAAGGCAAGGCAACCTGTTTCGTTCAATTTCAGGCCATTTCAGCAGCTTATACTCGCCTTCTCTTCTCTGCTACTCCATTCTAGGGCTGCAGCTAACGATTATTTTCATAATCGATTAGTTAGATTCACTGCTGATACCCAGTACTTCCAGGTAAATGCAAGCACGTGACTCTCTTCCTTTCCTCATGATGCCACTTGGCAATTCACTGCTTAGCCCATCACAATAGGGCGAGGAGAGAGACCTCAGCCCTGTGTAAGCACCTACAAGGATCGACCTGAGGCATGGGGCATCTCCAGCTGGGTAGCAAAGGTAAAGTAAGTGTAAGGGAACAACAGCAACTCAGCCACAAAGTGGTAGGCCACATAAAATGACAGAGCGGGGTCAGCGCATGCTAAAGCACACAGTGCGCAGAAGTCGCCAACTGAGTCAGTAGCTACAGACCTCCAAACTTCCTGTGGCCTTCCGACTGGAACAACAACAGTGCGTAGAGAGCTTCATGGAATGAGTTTCCATAGCCGAGCAGCTGCACCCAAGCCTTACATCACCAAGTGCAGTGCAAAGCGTCGGATGCAGTGGTGTAAAGCACGCCGCCACTGGACTCTAGAGAAGTGGAGACGTGTTCTCTGGAGTGATGAATCACGCTTCTCTGTCTGGCAATCCGATGGACGTGTCTGAGTTTGGCGGTTGCCAGAAGAACGGTACTTGCCTGACTGCATTGTTCCAAGTGTAAAGTTTGGTGGAGTGGGGATTATGGTGTGGGGTTGTTTTTCAGGGGTTGGGCTTGGCCCCTTAGTTCCAGTGAAGGGAACTCTTAAGGCATCAGCATACCAAGACATTTTGGACAATTTCATGCTCCCAACTTTGTGGGAACAGTTTGGGGATGGCCCCTTCCTGTTCCAACATGACTGCGCACACACCAGTGCACAAAGCAATGTCCATAAAGACACGGATGAGCGAATTTGGGATGGAGGAACTTGACTGGCCTGCACAGAGTCCTGACCTCAACCCGGTTGAAGCTGTTATGGCTGCAAAGGGTGGGCTAACTCAATATTGAACCCCATGCACTAAAGGTGCCCATACACTGTACGATTATCATACGAGAATCGCCGGAAATCCTGCGATCGTACGATAATCGCAAAGTTTATGGAAGGCGTGCGACCGTTTCTACTGTACGGTCGCACGTCTTCCGTCGAACAAGCAGGCTGGAAACCCCGCCGGGAATCGTATGATTCTCGGTGGGTTAGTGGCCTGCTTGTTCGACAACTGCCGAACGGGCCGGTGTGCGCACGCCCCTCATTGCAGTCATCGATGATCGCAAGTACGATCGGTGCAGTCATCGATGATCGCAAGTACGATCGGTGCAGTCATCGATGATCGCAAGTACGATCGGTGCAGTCATCGATGATCGCAAGTACAATCTGCCTGTCCAAGATAGGCAGCTCGTACGTTTTTTTTTTATTACTTTACAACCCTCACAAGACAAAAGTGTTGCGAGTGAAAATGCCACATCACATGAACATTTACTAACAATTTACTCAAACCATTTCCCCCTGAGTACGTTGCAATGTAGGATTGAAATGGGACTAAAGCTCTCCCAAAGTAAAAAGCATACACTTTAAGCTTTACCATGCCCTTACATTAGATAAGTCACACCAATGTGATTTTTTTTTTAAATCAGTGGACTCTGTTGATTATATTTTGGGGTAAATAGAAGGGGGGTGCAAACTAGACTTAGAGATTTACATAGTTACATAGTTAGGTTGAAAAAAGACACAAGTCCATCGAGTTCAAACCTAGAGAAGAAGAAAAACGGAACGCTATGCCCACAGTTGCCCACTGCTGATCCAGAGGAAGGCAAAAAAAACCCTATAAAGCTTGGTATAATTTGCTCCGATAGGGGAAAAAATTCCTTCCTGATCCCATAAGGCAATTGGATATTTCCTGGATCAACTATCTCTGATGCCTAATATACCTATAAGATTTAGAGTCAAAAAGGTCCAGGGACTCAAGTAATGACATAAGCAGGCCCGCAGTCGCAATGTAAAAACTGGTCTGGTCCAACAGTAGTATAGAGATATGAGAGCTGAATTGGTTAAACGGTGTTGTAGATCGCAGGTGCACCTGGTATAGGCAGAACTCCCACCATGCAGAAGATGTGCTTTTGGTATTTGACTCATCAACTCTGGAAAACTAAAAAAATATTTCACCCTTTGCCTGCAGTTGTACTTTAACCTTATAAATGTTCTTAACTTCCCCTCATTTGTACACCAAAACCGGCGCAATAATAGCATCCAACATTGAGAAAGCATTTAGGAATGCATGTCAGTTTTTAACATTTACCACAAAATAAACTTTCTATCTGTGACAGGGTCAGGTACAATGTGACCAGCACTGCGCTACTGACAAAGATATTTCATATCTACTTCTACAAATACAAATGTGCTTACACTTGCCAGATATCCGATAAATTGGGTTTATCGTTTACGGAAAAACTAAGTGAGCGATTTATTCATTACACAACCTTTAAATGGGAGAGCAGAGAATGATAATGAATCAGATCTAGCTACCAGTAAGCAGTCGTAAGTCATTAAGACCGAACGTCACTTTTTTTTTTTATCACGCATTGTTAAACTTAAAGTAGAAGCTATAAAAGAACTTGGAAAGATCATGAAAAGGCATTACTGAAAAAAAAGCCTCGGAGATGAGTAACTCTAACCATAAATTAGTACATTGCATGGAAGCCACGTGGGCAAAAATGATGACCAATTCTGATGGCTAAACAAGCCGATGTTCTAAAGCAGTGATTCTCAAACTTTCTAGGGTCGGGACCCCTTGGTAACATTTGCCAAGTTGTGGTGACCCCCAACGTAGTGCTGGACTCCAGAATTAGTAAGGCACTGGACTTGGGACTAAAAATAGAAGCACACTCACAAGAATACAAGCCCGCCCCTGCTACCTGCTTCCCTGCTCTGTCTCCATGCAGCCTTCTCAGCCCCAGCACTGCTTAGACTCAGAGCTCACATTGTATGGGAGGCAGGAAGACACCAGCGGCTGTGAATAGAAAAGGCCTGCTGTGCACACTCCCCGGCCACTAGATGTCGCTGCAGCGGCCATGGAGTGTGTATAGCGGCACTTTTATATTCACAGTATCTGCTATCCTCCCGCTGACTGACACTGCTGTGCTAGGAGGATGCTGAGGAGCCTCTCACCTAGCGCAGCAGAAGTGGATTCTGCAACCCCCTCAACAGTTAGATGCGACCCACTTTTGGGTCGCGACCCACAGGTTGAGAATCGCTGTTCTAAAGTATAATTTGTACAGACACAGCAAAGTCTGATACACTGTATTTCTAATCACAAATTTTGCCCCAGAGTTTGGTTTATACTTGTGGTAATACATTTTATAGTTGTATTGTATAATACATGGGCACAGTGAATAACTCACTGGATTATGCGCATGTGTCTTCTACACACATTTAGTGACCACTTTATTAGGAAGACCTGCAGTGAATTATGTGGCTGCAGCTGGAAACAAAGCATGCTGAGGAGGTTAAGGGATACAGTTGTTGCTTGATCAAGCATTAGAAAGCAGAAGACTCCTGATCTAAGCAAATGCTTGATGGTGCCACAACTCAAACTGTGGCCACCTGGAATTTTTACACACTACAGCCTCTAAAGCAGGGGTAGCCAAACTCTGGCCCTCCAGCTGTGGTGAAACTACAAATCCCATGATGCATCTCTCTCCGGGAGTCATGTCTGTGGCTGTGAGAATCTTCCAATGCCTCATGGGATTTGTAGTTCCACCACAGCTGGAGGGCCGGAGTTTGGTTACCCCTGCTCTAAAGCCTCGGTTCTGGTGGGTCGTGAGCCAAAACTGGGTCGCAACCCCGTGTTTAGTGGGTCGCCTCATGCCTTCCACTTTTCTAGGGGAAAGGCTTCTCAGCCTCCCCCTAGGGCAGCACTGTCAGTTCTCGCGCCAAGCAGCCATTTAATCGAACAGACCTGTGCGATTAACGCTTCTACCATGCAAACGCACCTACTATGCACTGTAGTGTGGGAGGTGCGTTACGTTGTCATTCGGCACCTCAACACGCCTCCCACCCACAGTTCAATCGCCTGCACCGAAACGTGCGGTATTGCAATGCCGTGTGTTTCATTGCAGTGCAACTTGGGTCGCAACTTAAAGACCAAGGACAAATGTG